CCACACCGCGCTCAACCAGTGAGCGGACAGGTCTCTATATGGGATCCGAACCCGTGGCCTTGGTTTTATCAGCACCACACTCTCCTGAGTGAGCCACGGGCCGGCCCCTGTTCTTTTCCTTTTTTTTTTTTTTTCCTTTTTGTCTTTTTTCGTGACCGGTAGTGGGATCGCAACCCTCAGTGTCACGCCCGTACTGCGACCGGCAACAGGATCGCAACCCTCGGTGTCACGCCCACACCGCGCTCAACCAGTGAGCGGACAGGTCTCTATATGGGATCCGAACCCTCGGCGGGAGCGCCACCGCACTCCCAAGCGCCGCACTCTACCGAGTGCGCCACCGGGCTGGCCCCCCCTATTCTTTTCTAATACTCTTCTCTTTTGGAATTTTCCCAACTTGTCTTACTTTTTTATTTTTCTGCATGAACTTTAGAATCAGCTTATTTATTTCCAGAAACTACTCCTGTAGGCATTTGGGGAGAAGGGGGTTGGAGGGGTCAGTTTAAATTCATAGATTAATTTCTTTATAAGGAATCTAAATTTTAGCTTTAATCTTTTCTCTTACAGATGATATTAACCGTATTCCTTAGCAACAATGAACAGATTTTAACAGAAGTTCCTATAACACCAGAAACAACCTGTCGAGATGTTGTTGAATTTTGCAAAGAACCTGGAGAAGGCAGTTGCCATTTAGCTGAAGTGTGGAGGGGAAATGGTATGTATTAGCTTCTATAAAGATTACTAAGCACATACAGTTTAGTATTTATCAAATGGAAAATATTGCTCCTGCTTCTTAGTTTTCTATGATAAAGAATTGAGTAATTAAAATAAAAACAATTACATTACATGGGGATAGGATTTCGCAAAATGCTATTTGTAAGAAAAGTAATGTGTTATGTGATTTGATTTGAGGTAAAATCTCCAGGGAAGGTAGACCCAGCTCTTGTGTGAGGCCTTTCTTCCTACTGCTACTAACCAAGTGAGAGTTCTCTGTCCTCTGAGACCTTACAGAGTTTTGTCTAATACACGTCAAATTGTTCATTGACTTTTCTTTTCCCTTCTGACAGCTTCATGAAAGCAGAAATATTGTGTTTTCCTGTGTACAAAGCCCTGTAAATAGTAGGCCCTCCATAAGTATTTCTTTATTAAATTGAGAAGAGTAAAATACTGGGGCTCACATTGAAGGAACTTGTCAGCTAGCTGGGCAGAGAAGATCAGTGGAGGTAATATGATTACTGAATACAGAAAATTCTACAAAATAATTTAGACTCTAAAGAAGGGGTTGAACTTAGATAAGATAGGGTGTACTAAGTAAGGGAAGCAATGTGAACGGAAGAAGAGAAGAGAGAGAATGTGGTGTGCTACTCAGACAGCAGAGGGACTGGTATTGCAAGAAGGTAGTCAGCAAAGCAGAGAATGGACCAGCTGGTGCAAGGCCTTCAGCACCGGCCGGGGGTGGGCCCTTACTGGGCATACAGAAAGAAGGGTTTGTGTAGATTTTTAAATAGGAAATGACACTCTGAAAATAATGCTTAGAGGAAATACATCTGGTAACTGTGTGGTATGTGTGAGTCTGTGTTGGACAGGAAGAGAACCATCAATTGGAACATGTTTAGTTTGAGGTGGTAAGGTATTCAAATGGAAGTGTTTAAAGGGCACTTAGAGGTAATCCGGTTTTTCTGTCTCTGTATATTTGTCTATTCTGGACATTTCATATAAATGGAATCATACAATATGTAGTCCTTTTTTTTTTTTTTTTGACCGGTAAGGGGATCGTAACCCTTGGCTTGGTGTCGCCTGCACCACGCTCAGCCAGTGAGCGCACCAGCCATACCTATATAGGATCCGAACCCGCAGCCTCGGCGCTGGCAGCACCGCACCCTCCCGAGTAAGCCACAGGGCCAGCCCATGTAGTCCTTTTTTGACTGGCTTCTTTCAAACTTAGCATAATGTTTTTCAGGTTCATCCATTTTGAAGCATGTATCAGTAATTCATTCCTTTCGTTGCTGAATAATATTCCATTTTATGGCTATACCACATTTTATTTATCCATTCATCAGCTGATGGACTTTGGGTTGTTTCCATGTTATATCTATTATGAATAATGCTGCTATGAACTTTCACATACAAGTTTTTGTGTGGACATAGATTTTTATGTCTCTTATGTGTATACCTAGGAGTAGAATTGCTGAGTCATGTTGTAGTTCTCTGTTTAACCTTTTGAGGGACTGACAGACTGTTCTCCAAAGCAGTTGCACCATTTTACATTTCCAGAAGCAGTGCATGAGGGTTCCAGTTTCTCCAAATTCTTGCCAACACTTGATATTATTTATTTGATTTTAGCTATCCTAGTGGGTGTGAAGTGGAATCTCATTTTGGTTTTGATTTGTATTTCCCTCATGACTAATGATATTGAACACTTTTTCATGTGGCTATTGGCCATTTGCATATCTTCTTGGGAGAAATGTCTATTCAGATTCCTTGCCCATTTAAAAAATTTATTTTTTAATTTTCTTTTTGAGCTAAGCAGACATGAATGATTTACCCATTTTTTAATTGGGTTATTTGTCTTTTTGTTATTGAGTTGTAAGAGTTCTTTATGTATTCTAGATACAAGTCCCTTATCAGCTATATTATATGACTTGCAAATATTTTCTTCCAAAGTCTTGTGCTTTTAATGTTATCCTTAGAATTCAGAGTAAAGACTTTAAGGATGCATTGAGAGAAACTTGACTTTGATAAATATTGGATTATTGCTAAACTAGAGGTCCTCATTTGCCATCCTGATGACAGCTACAGGAAAGGGGCTCTAATGTGGGTCCCCTGAAAAATGTTAGGCTTTAACGTTAGGCTCTAACATTTTTGGAGCCTAACAATGTTTGTATATATATAAAAAACAGTGTTTTATATATTTAAGCAGTTGTAATTAACATTTTTTAGAGGACCCACATTAGAGCTTGATCATTCCATCATTGTTTCATCGTCTCTCTCCTCTTAGCACTTTGGCTCTTACTTGTTATCACTTCTTTTTTTTTTTTTTTTTTCCTTTTTGTCTTTTTTACTGACTGGTAACAGGATCGCAACCCTCGGTGTCGCGCCTGCACCGAGGACCGGCAACGGGATTGCAACCCTCGGTGTTGCACCCGCACCACGCTCAACCAGTGAGCGGGAACCAGTCTCCACATGGGATCCGAACCCTCGGCGGGAGCGCCGCCACGCTCCCAGGCAGCGCGCTCTCCAGTGCGCCACCGGGCCGGCCCAATCACTTCTAATTCCTTATCTGCCTCTCCCTTCTCTTTTACTTAGCTTGGAAGGGAATCCAATTTTTGTGTAGGTATTGAAGCCCCAAATGGTCCATGACCGCTTGAAAATGCTTATCTCCCTTATGTGAATCATTTGGTTGGTGCCATCCTTGTCTCCAAGCCCATCTTAACCATAACCCTTGGCTTTTCCTCATCAGGGATGAGTGCTACCACCCCCAGAGCGCAGAGAATCAGAGCATAGTATATTTGCCATGGCTTCTGTACATGCTATTTTCATAGTCTAGAATAATCCATAGGAGCTTGGCTAGCTTCTATTTATTCTTTGCCTCCCATTCTTCCTTGAATCCCAAAGGGTGTTAAGTGTCCCTCCCCTATACTCAAATACTGTCATAGTATTTTTTAAAGCATAATCTGGTAGCTTTCATCTCTCTCTTGTTGAACTAAAGTTCCTGACAGCAAGAACTTGTCTGTCTTTTCACCATCATATCCTCAGCCTGTTGCTCATAATGGGCACTTAATAAATGGTTAAATCAGTGAGTAAAATGAGCAGGAAAGATGGATCTAGGAAAAGGAGGAGAGATCTTCTAGTGGATGCAATTCAAAGCGAGAGGGAAAGCACTCTAACATTCTTTCTCAATCATGCTTGTTACCCTGGAGGAACCCTTAAAATGACTTTCAGTTCTCGTGGAACCCTTGCATAAAAATTGTTGCATCTATAACTCATTATATTAACAAAATAGGAATTAAAATATAAGTATTAACAAAATTAGGATGATCGGTATGTCCCAGGTATAATAATACAATAATTATCGATGCTTTTGAGTAGAGAATATTTCTCTATGGATCTGTGTATTAGTTTGAAGCTGCCATAGCAAAGTACCATACAGACTGCGTAGTTTAAACAACAAAAATTTATTTTCTCACAATTCTGGAAACTAGAAATCTGAGATCAAGGTATCAGCAAGGTTGGTTTCTTCTGAAGTCTCTCTCCTTGACTTGTGAATGGTTGTCTTCTCCCTGCGTCTTCACATGGCCTTCCCTCTGTGTGTGTCTGTGTACAAATCTCTTCTTCCTATAAGGACACTAGTCATACCGGATTAGGGCCCACCCTAATGTCGTTTTAACTTAATTACCTCTTTAAAGCCCGTATCTCCTTTAGTCACATTCTGAGGTACTGGAGATTAGGACTAAACATATGAATTTGGAGGGGACACAAGTCAGCCTATGACAGTCTATTAATTTGGCCAGTTTATTCTCCTACTCTTTTTGTGGTTCCCTTCCCCATGCAGTTGTCAACTCTAATGCAGATCAGTAACGTAGGTAGAACCTTTGGTTTTTTCCCTTTTGCTAAATTTCCTACTTGATTTTTTACCTTATCCAAGAATGCCTGAAAGTCTTTTCATAGATTTCCATTATATGAGATATTAATGAAATATACTATAAATTACATGATATATGTAGGGTAATTTTTTTTCCACTTAGAAACAAAAGTGATGTTTCAGTTACTTTTTCTTATAATTAAAAAAAATAGTGGAACTTAGCTTACTTTTCCTTAATCTTTCTTTTTCAAAAATTTTATAAATTCATAAAGGGAAACAAGAAATTTTTGTTAAATAACAGGCTTAAGACAAGATGGTATTTAATTTTTAAGTTATAGTTAGATGTGGTAGATTTAAATAAAGGTTGTAATTTATTTTAATTAATTTTAAAAGTTTATAAATTGTAATTAACATAAAACATGAAATTTTATTGACAATGATGATTAGTAAAGTAACTAAAAATAAAGCTACAGGGCTGGCCTGTGGCTCACTTGGGAGAGTGTGATGCTGATAACACCAAGGCCACAGGTTCAGATCCCTATATAGGGATGGCCGGTTAGCTCACTTGGGAGAGCGTGGTGCTGACAACACCAAGTCAAGGGTTAAGATCCCCTTACCCGCCATCTTTATAAATAAATAAATAAATAATAAAAAATAAAAATAAAGCTACTAAAACTATAAACAATATGAATAAAAGTATGGCCCAAGACACAATTTTATACAAAACTGAGGGATACCCTTTACCAATAGGCTAAATATAGACCTTACAGATTAAAAAGGCAAATATACATGTTTTTTAAAAATATTTTTTATAGGCCTGTATATATAAAAAATGTTACTTTCAAAACTAAAAATGTAGAATGAAATTTACTTCTTTAACATTCAACTTGTGATTGTTTTTTTGCTATGCAAATACTCAGTTCTGAGTTGAACTTGAGCTACACACACACAGATTTCATTTTCAGCCAAGATGAGACCATTTCTGTCCTTGCCCTGATGTTTATTAAGTAAAATGTATCTACACATATAAAGCGTATCTACACATATAAGAAGGTGGAAACACCAGCAGCACTATGCTTGTTGCATTTCTGTGAATGACAGGATTTTCTTTACAGAAATCTAGAACTTATCTA